ATGTACTCCATGAGAATGGAAATGAGAGAACTTTATGAGGACAATCAGAGGCTGAGAGCCTGGAATAGTGACCTGAGGGGACGAGGCATTCGCTCACCCTCGGGGGAACGCTGTCACTGCACCTGTGGTGAATGGGGCTGCCGGTCCAGGAGTTCTAGGGAAGAACAACGTGGTCGCTCCCCTGAATCTGGGCAGCCCCCACGTCAAAGGGGTTTTCAGCCTCGTGGCCCAGGGATGTCCTCTACCCCTAGGCCAACGGGAGGCAGGAGTCCTAGCCCGAGCTGGCGTGCCCGACAGGAGGATGAGCCCAGACGACGTGGTGTGCACTTCCTGCCTCGACAGCGGGACACGGTTAACGACCGTCAGGGAAACGACAATTAGCTGGTATTGAGGCCCAAATGCCAGCCTCTCCTATAGGGGGCCCCTTAAACCATGACTTCTCCAATGTAATAGCCCTTATGGACTGTACTGACCACCCAACTTCCTTCGTCAGGGGTGTGGTTGAAGGCACCGAGGTCCCAATGTTAGTGGACTCGGGGGCGTCGGTTTCCCTGATCAGTGAGGACTTCCATATGTCAGTCCCGGCTCTGCGAAACAGGGCCATGAAAAAGAACTATATCGATTCTCGGGCAATTAATGGACAGATGTTGGATACACTTGGTACCTGTGAGATCACCTTCAGGCTGGGCCCAACCTACTGGCAGCACACCTTCCATGTATTACGGCAATCCACCCAGAGTGTGCTGCTCGGACTGGATTTCCTGGCTCCGAACTGTGCATTGTTGGACTTGCGGCGAGGTGTGTTACAACTATGGGACATTTCTGTGCCGCTGCTTCAGGGTGGTGAGTTAGTCCCTAGCTGTTGTAATGTGTCCGTTGCTGATGTTCTGACCATTCCCCCATTGAGTGAGGCTCTGGTCCCGGTGAATATTCTCACGTCTGCTGGGACTGGTTGGCCTGCTGCTGATTTTGTGGGCTACCTGGAGCCTAACATTCCGGATACGACAGGACTGGTGGTCGCTCGTACAGTGAACAGTGTGAGAAACGGTGTGACCTCAGCCCGCATTCTCAATTCCACAGGGGACGCGGTTGAACTCAAACGGGGGCTACACCTGGGGGAGTTCTACCCCGTCAAAGAGGAAGATATCTGCGGGCCACCTCATGTCGCGGACGACCATCCAGCTGTGCCGCCAGATGCAGTGAGCCCTGTCTCCCTGGAGGAGTCTCCTGTTACGGCTGAGCAAAGGGCCAAGCTGGCTGACCTGCTTCAGGGGTTCACTGAGGTGTTCAATTTGGATGGCCGGAACACAGGCAAGTGCACGCTGATCAAACACCGCATTCGAACGGGGGACTCACCCCCTGTGAAGCAGCGTGCTTATCGTGCATCGCCTGAGAAGCGGACGGAGATTGAACGTCAAGTGGCTGAACTGCTGGCAGACGGCGTGGTGGAGGAGAGTTGTAGTCCCTGGGCGTCTCCAGTGGTGCTGGTGAGAAAGAAAGGGGGGCAGTGGAGGTTCTGCATTGACTATCGTCGTCTAAATGCAGTGACGATCAAAGACTCACACCCCCTCCCACGAGTGGATGATAGCCTGGACGCTTTAGCTGGTTCAGTCAGGTTCAGCACACTTGACTTTTCAAATGGCTACTGGCAGGTGGAAGTGGCTGAGGAGGATCGTGAGAAGACGGCTTTCACAACCGGACGGGGCCTGTATCAGTGGCGGGCCATGCCTATGGGACTGTCCAATTCGCCAGCCACTTTCCAACGCATGATGGAGCTCATTCTCAGGGGCCTGCCATGGCACATTTGTATGGTGTATTTGGATGATATACTGATTTATAGCCGTACATTCACTGACCATCTCCTTCATTTGGATAAAGTCCTATCCAGGATCCAGAAGGCGGGTCTGAGGTTGAATCCGCAAAAATGCTGCTTTGCCAGGGACCATGTCGTTTTCCTGGGCCACCTAGTCTCCAGAGATGGTCTCCGACCCGACCCACGGAACACAGACAAGGTGAGGACGTGGCCAACTCCCCGCACCCCGTCGGAGGTCAGGGCCTTCGTGGGCCTATGCTCCTATTATCGGAGATTTGTGCGTAATTTCTCCCAACATGCGGCACCCTTGAATCGGCTGGCTGGAAAGAACGTCCCCTTTGAGTGGTCGGCTGAGTGTGAGGCTGCATTCAGCTACCTCAAGCAAGTTCTCACCTCTTCTCCGGTGGTGACACTGCCCAAATTTGCACTTCCTTTCAAGGTGTACACCGACGCATCTAAAGACTCTGTTGGGGCAGTCCTGGCGCAGGATGAAGATGGCTGTGAGAAGGTGGTAGCCTATGCCAGCCAGGCTCTCACCCACACACAGAGGAGATGGTCCACCTTCGATAGAGAGTTATGGGCCGTGGTGTGGGCTGTGCGTGAGTTCAAACACTATGTGGGGTTGTCTGCATTCTCCATCATCACGGACCATCGCCCTCTGCTGGGCCTGAGGCGCATGGCTATTGATAATGATCCAACTGGACGGAGGAGTCGGTGGGTGCTGGAGCTGGATCCATTTGATTGGGTCATGGTGCACCGGGATGGCGCACGCCATCAGAATGCTGATGCTCTGTCCCGCCGGCCTGTGTCCCCTGACCCTGTCCAGGCAAATGTTCCTGCAACTGGACCTGTTACTGTGGCTTCTGTGGAGACGTCTGACCACTCTACGGCTGGGAATGTGGAAGCGGAGTCAGTTCTGGTCTATACCCTCGGTGATGGGGGAGCTGAGTTGCAGGCACTGCAGCGTGAGGACTCTGACATCAGTACTGTTCTGACATGGCTAGAGCAAGGCAGGGTGCGGCGGCCTCGTAAACTGCCCCGGGATTCCTCTGCCAGCTTGAGGAAACTGTGGGCTGAGTTTCACCATCTGTCTGTGGTTGACGGGCTGCTCTGCCGCACAGCGTTCACTGACAACACCGGACAGAAGCAGATTCAGACTGTTGTCCCTGCATCCCTGGTGCCGGAACTCCTTCAACAGTTGCATAGGGGGCCAGCTGCTGCACATTTCTCAGCAGAACGTGTGTGGGAAAAGGCCAGAAAGTCCTGCTACTGGCCCTTCATGTTGAGGGACATAAGGCAGTGGTGTGAACAATGTTTGGCCTGTCAGACTCGCAGGAGGCCGGTCCCAGGGTCCAAGGCCCCTATGGGAAAGGCCCAAGTATGCCGGCCTTTGCAGCGGGTAGCCGCAGATATCTTGGAGCTCCCCATAACATCCCGGGGGAACAGGTATATTTTAGTGGTAGAGGACTACTTTACTAAGTTTGTTTCCCTATATGCGTTGCCTAACCAGACAGCGCCTTCAGTGGCACGCTGCCTGTTTGAGGATTATGTATTGGTGCATGGGGTTCCCGAAATCCTGCATAGTGATCAGGGCCGTCAGTTCGAGGCGGAAGTGATCCAGATCCTCTGCCAGCTGCTGGGGATTAAGAAAACTCGTACCACTGCGTATAATCCCAAATCGGATGGCATGGTGGAGCGCCACAACCGGACTTTGATCGATCAGCTGGCCAAGCTGTTGCTTTCTCATGGCGGTGAGTGGGACACATATGTGAAGCATATTGCTTTCGCATACAACACCTCTAAGCATGCCACCACCCAGTTTACCCCATTTTTTCTCATGCATGGACGTGAGGCCCGTGTTCCAGCGGATGTGCTAGTGCCCGCTAATGCACCCGACTCCTGGGGTACTGGATCTTTGATGGATTATGCCTCCGTCATTGCAGAGCGACTGGGGTCAGCATTCAGCGCTGCCAGGCTAAACTCGGCTGAAGCTCAGGAAAGACAGAAACTGTACTATGACCAGGGTAGCTGTCACCGCCCCTATGTGGTAGGTGCGCTGGTGTGGATCAATAACCCCACGGAGAGCCGTATGAAGCTGGCGCCGCACTGGAAGGGTCCATATCGGGTCGTGCAAGTGTTGGTTTCTGGTGGCGAGTCTGCACTCACGTATCGCCTCGTCAACGCCCTCGATCCAATGGAGCGAGTCGAAGTGGTTCATCATGACAGACTGAAACCGTACACTCTGCCATTGCCTGCACAGGCTGTTCCGACTCCGGCTGCTGTGAATTCTCCTCTTGGGGTCGAGGCTTCCCTTCCCCAGAACGGAGATCAATCTCAGACTGGTGGGGTGGACAATGGACTGTGTGGGGACTTGCCTGAGTCCCAGGTTGGGCGGTCTTGCAGGGGGCGATTGGTGAGGCCTCCATCCTGTTTGCAGGACTTTCTTAGGTTTTGAAGTTCTAGTTTGTTTTTTTTTTTTTTTTTTTTTTTTTTTGACATAAGTTCCACTTGGTGTGAGGGGTTACTTGAGAGACATGAGCGGTCTGTTTAAGGCTTTTGTTCTGCTCTGTTCCTTTCATGTTTGTAATTACAAGGTGTACCTAACTGTGTGGTAAGGTTGAATTTTTTTTGTTTGTTTTGTTATTTTGTTACCTCTCTTTGGGAGGGTTACATTTCAGGTGCTTTTCAGGTGAAACGGGGACGTTTCTTGTTGAGGGGGGGACGTGTGTAACAGACTGTTCTGTGTCTGTATGTTAAAGTGGTGTCCATCCCTGTTGCCGGGGAGCGAAAGTTCGCCGGGTGTACGGCAGGGGGAGCTTGTGAGTTTGTGGTTATGTGTTGAGAGAAGAAGAAGAAATAAAACCGGAAGCGGGGTTACCGCCGAAAACTCCGACCCGTCTCTTGTCCCGTTATTGCCTATAAAGTACGTAATACGGACCCAAAACGCTCGGTTATATATATATATATATATATATATATATATATATATATATATATATATATATATATATATATATATATATATATATATACGAAAAAAAACACACAAAAAAACAAACAAACATCCATTTCGTACGGTCCTTGAATGCAGCACGAGTTCAGACTCGTGCTGCTTTCAAAGACCCGACATTCTGGACATCAGGGATTGGTCAAAGTTGATCCGTGTCATCGTGTTACGTTTACAAACTACCTCACAGCACCTGACAGCTCATAGCGCTGCGCTCAGTTAGAGGATCATCACCTGGGAGAACTTCTCACGGTGTTCTATATTACCGAGTTCTGGACCAAAGCTGGAGAAGAGATGACCTCCCAGGATACCGCTAAAGACGCGGCTCGCTGTACCGACGGGGTGAATAAACGCCCGGAGTCTCCAGAGGAGCAAAGCGAAGAGAAGACGCCGCTTCTCCGTCGGCATCATCCGTTTAGTGTCGAGGCGCTTATCTCCGGAAGGGAAACGGAAAAGCGAACCGAACAATCCACCTGTTGTAAAGCAGCCTTGATGCTCCCAGCGGGGTTAAACTCTCTGTATCTGCCCCGGGAGACGCACAGTCCTCCCGGGGAAGCCCGGCGCAGCTTCGCGGCTCTTCCTGCCTCTCCGGTCAAATCTGAGGAGTCAGAGGAATGTCCTCACTGGGTCACTGCCAGCGCCTTCTCCAGACATCCACGTAAGTTTGATTCCAAGCTTAAACCTTAATGAAGTTGAATTTAATCTCCTTCTCGCTCTACATCCATTATAAACCCCTTATCACTTTAAAAGCGACTTTCCAAAGTATTCAATTAAGACTCAAAATACTCAGGAAATTAAAATATTTAATCTTTATTCAAACTTACAATGAAAAATGTTCGATTTTCATAATTATTTTGCCCCTTGTTTTTATATTTTAATCTGTTTTGAACCTTTAAAATACATTATGCTGCTCAGCTCTTTATTTTTATTGCACACTATACAGATGCAGGGGCCCTGCATGGGGGAGGGGGGGGATTCTAAGGGCCCTTGACTGAGGGGGGGCCCAAAAGAAAAAGAAAAGATTTGTCTCGCTATATTTTTCAGATATTAAAAGAAAATCCAGCAGTCTTAAAAATAATTTTGTGTTCTCCCGCATTTTTAAGCAGTAAACAGCGAAACAAAGCATGAATAAAGAGAGGCATAGCCAGAATATTTTTATAAGGGTGGCCGGGCAATAACCAGTGACCACTGAGGGGGGCCAAAAATGGATAAGAACCAGAACCTCACCTTCAATCTAACTGTTCCAACAGGACAATGAACAAGCAATACATCCATAGTTTCTAAATAAAGACAAACTATACTTTCCTAAAGCCTTTGCTAACAAATAGACGCATATATTTAAACATCCATGCTTTTTAGATAAAAGGTGAAGTGGATGAAATTCATTCAGGTTTGAATTCTGGAGCGAACATTGTCATTACTTACCTACTTTTATCAATAATAATCCTGCATAAAATTGATATTTACAAGTACTAATATCTACATAAATTGATTATTTAATAGGTTTTTATTAAAATTGTTATTTCTCTATGATTTCACTAAAGAATCCTAGATGAACGCAGAGACTCATAATTTTCTCTTTACCCCCCCAAAAAACACAAAATCTAGTTCTGAAAAGAGCATAAATCCTGTACTTACCATCTTTAATGTTGGTATATTGATGTGTATAATTAACCACAGTGTTTTTGTTATCAAGTAATTATGAATATATGAAAAGATAGTAAGTAATATATGAAAAATTACAATGTTTGGAATATTCCACTTAATTATTAGGGGGAAATCAATGGTAGGGGTGGCCATTGATTGGCTAATGGTGGCCATGGCAACCCCTGGCCCCCCATCTAGCTCCGCCCCTATGAATAAAAGCAAAACCCCCGTCCTGCATTGCATCAGGTCTCCCCATCTGTGTCCAGCAGTTTGCTCATACTGGGGCTTAAGTGGCATATTTTCCATAGTGATAATGAAAAAAAACCCCAAATTATTGCATCTTTAAAGCAGTTTAAAAACTTACATCCATTTTAGATGCACACCTGCTATGCTAAACTGCCAATCCTATGAAAATTAAAAAATGAAAATCAGATACTGTTTTTTATCCTTGCTGGAAAATAATAATAAAAAAAATGAGTGCATGAAACAGGCCTGAACAAAAATGAGGAAGCCCCTGGAAAATACTGGAATTAATTTGACCAATAGTACATGATAAATCTGGGTGTGTCGGGTAATTAGCATCACAGGTGTGCAAAATCTTATAAACAGTCAGTTGACCTATATATAGGGTAATAGTTAATAGCTGTTCCATTTGATGACATGGTTTGTACCACACTCAACATGGACCAGAGAAAGCGAAGGAAAGAGATAACTTAGGAGATTAGAAAAATTAATAAGCATGTCAAAGGTAAAGGCTATGAAACCTTCTCTAAGCAGCTTGTTGTTCCTTTGAATACAGTCGCACATATTTAGGAATTTAAGATCCATGGGGCTGTAGCCTCCCGGCATGTGACCGCAGCAGAAAAATTTATGACAAATCAGGGGCATCGCTATATTTTTCAAATATAAAAAGAAAATCCAGCAGTGTTAATAATTATTTTGTGTTCTCCCTCATTTTTACGCAGTAAACAGTAAAACAAAGCATGAATATATTCATCAAAACCCCCTTCCTGCATCGCATCAGGTCTCCCCCGTCTATCACTGGCAATTTGCTCATACCGGGGCTTAAGTGCTACTAGTAGTGATAGTGATACTGAAAAAAACAACAACAAATTAATGCATCTTTTTAGCACTTAAAAAACTTACATATATTTTATTTGGGTGGGGTGCAATATCAATGTCTTTCATGGGGCCCCAAATTCCTGGCAGCGCTCCTGAATAGATGCACACCTGGTCTACTAAACTACTAAATTTGGATTTCAATGTGAAATCCAAATTTTTCACATAGGCCTAATATTTATTTCCAAAGGTTAAAAACTGGAAAGATATTTAAAAAAAACATCCAAGGAACCCAGATAGCCTGATTAAAATTATGGGAAGATTTAAAGAATTGTTAAAGATTTGTTGATTTTCCAACTTTGACTTACCGGTAATCAATTTATTATTATTTTTTTTTTATTTACCTAGTATGCACTATTTTAAGGATTTTATTTTGACCACTGATGACATGTACTCAAATTTTAATTTTTTGTTGTTTATCTATTTAACTTTCGCTCACAGATTTTACACATCTTCACTGGGTGCTTCTAAGTTACAGATGACCCTAGTTAAAATCGTCATTATGGAATTCTTTTGTCAGTTTTGCAAGTGAAATGTATGCAGGTTGTTCGAAAGCAGCTATCCTGCATTTATACCACGCTATAATCCCACTGACTAAAATGGTTACAGATGTCATTCTAAATTCTCCATCCTTTCTGGTGCCTCAGGTCATGTCAGTCCAGCCTGTCAGCTGAGGAAACACAAGACCAACAGAAAGCCCCGCACTCCTTTTACTACATCCCAACTCCTGGCTCTGGAGAGGAAGTTCAGACAGAAACAGTACCTGTCCATCGCAGAGCGAGCAGAGTTCTCCTCCTCTTTGACCCTGACGGAGACCCAGGTGAAGATCTGGTTCCAAAACCGTCGGGCAAAAGCGAAGAGGCTCCAGGAGGCTGAGATGGAGAAGCTCAAGATGGCCGCTGATGTCAAGACGGCAGCAGTGACAGCTACTGCCGCTTCTGGAGCTTTGTACCCTGGCTTTACGTTACCACTGTCGCTGGGCGCCATGTCTCTGTATGGACAGTCGTACTCTGCCTATCACCAACACCAAAGATCCCTCTTGCCTATATCCCCATTTGGACTATATGCTGCTCCACTGGGATACAGCATGTACCACTTCTCATAACAATGGAAATATCTTATTGCATTACTTTTAAAGAGTTTCAAAAATTGAGAAAGAGCAGGTGTTCTTGACATTTTTATATATGCAAAATATGTATGATCTGCACCCGAAGTGCAGTATATAAAGCTCTTCAGAACTAATTAGAAATCCATTTTCCTTCCCTTAAGCAAGGATAGAAAGGCACTTCCTCTGCTGCCCCCGTCGGACAGCCTGTTTGTATGACTGGGCTGTGAGCGGAGGGGTGATTCTGTTTGAGTGCTGTTTATCGTCTTCCCTTTTTTACATCGGCAATAATTGAGCAGGGGCGAAGACTTGCACTGGGCACACAAACACAGACCACAGCTGTTTTTTTTTTTTTTTTAAGCCTTGTTTCCAATTAGACACAGTATCTTAAGTCAGAAGTGGCCTGAATGTGAGGATACTTGTGCGGATTAACTGGAGTTTCAGCTTCTCAGGACATATTATGCATATCACAGAAGCTTTCTTGCGGTTCACACATACCAGTGGCCTTTAAAAAAACCTTTTATTCAGGGTAAACCTAAAAGGTACTTGCGCTCCATTCAACAAACCTTAATTTATACCACTAGTGCTGAAGTTTCTATTTCTCTTTACAACACATTTATAGCACAGGACCATATTTATCTTCTCTGAATTACAATGCTGAAAATTTATGAGTGCCTTATGTTGTGTATTTATGGTAGAGAATATGGTACAAAGTGACACCAAATGTATATTTATATTGTTTCTTTTGTGTGCTGTCCCATTTGGCGGAATCACAAGATATTGTTTTTGTTTTGTCATTTGAAATTAAAGCTGATTTAGATTCTTTCACAGTTGCATGGCACATTTTTTTTTATGAAAAGTAAAACTATTGGCACATACACTTTTTTCTGTGATTTTGAAAAATTGTAAAAGAGTAAAAATTGCATTCTGGTCATTTTTATTTTTTTATTTTTTATCACTTTGAAGCTTTTTGTTCAAATTTTCCCCTGAATCTATGTGATTTATTGTCCACTTCTGAGTTTCCAAAAGAAGAGAAATCAGCTTCAAAATAGTGTTTGTGAAACTATAAATGATAAAGACAAATCATCAATTTTACAATTTGTTCTAACTTTGTCAAATACATGTTGACAAAAAATCCCTCAGTTATAATAATTGCCAAACTGGCCTTCTGAAATTAACTTGTAAAAATGTTGAAGGTCTGGATTATTATTTCCTTATTGAAGACCAATAATAACAGTGAAATGTAATTTTGATCAAGATGTTTATTGAATGTAATATTTTTATAAGCTATGCTTGTTGCAAATAATATTTATGCCATGTTTTCAATAGTTTTGCTTTTCCAAGTCCAAATAATCACTGCTCATTTAACCGGGAATAAGTTGCAGTAATGCTAGTGTAGGTATCCTACTTGAAGAAAAGTTGTTGATTACAAAAACTCTGATCAGGTTTTTCTCATTGATACAGATTTGCTGGTTTTATTAAAGGCAAATCTGATGTTTAAAAAAAAAAAAAGGTTTTAATTTAAGGACAGTTAAAATATTTGAAAAAGGAAAATGGGCTGCAAGTTCTTAACATTTTCAACTGAAAATGAAAGTATTGGAACATTATCTCCATTCAAACATCAAAGCATACACAGCCAACCATCATCTGATTTTATTTAACTAAAAAAGGATACTCTGCTGACTGAAATTAGCAAGGAGTTCTTATTTGTGTTGCGTTTAATAAATGTCTATCTGATACTAACTTAAGCAACATTGTTGCTATCCCTTTTATAATGAAAGAAAATCTGACAATGGTAATAGAAATTAGTTGAATTTGACAAAAGTCAAAATAAATACCAATCCTATGAAAATTAAATGAAAATCAGACACTGTCTTTCAACCTTGCTGGAAAATAATAATAAAAAATGAATCCATGAAACAAGCCTGAACAAAAATAATGAAGCCCCTAGAAAATATTAAAAATAATGTGACCAATGGTGTATGATAAATCATGGTGTGTCGGGTAATTAGTATCACAGGTGTCCAAAATCTTGTAAACAGTCAGTTGACCTATATGTAGGGTAACAGTTAATAGCTGTTCAATTTGGTGACATGGTGTGTACCACACTCAACATGGACCAGAGGAAGCGAAGGAAAGAGATGTTTTAGGAGTTTAGAAAAAATAATAAGCATGTCAAAGGTAAAGGCTATGAAACCTTCTCTAAGCAGCTTGATGTTTCTGTAATTACAGTTGCACATATTTAGGAATTTAAGATCCATGGGACTGTAGCCTCCCGGCATCATAGGCGGATCTACTGGGGTGGCATGGGGTGGCAAATGCCACCCTAAATGACAGCCTTGCCACCCCTGCTGCCACCCCAGTTGGCGGTAGGGGTGGCGAGGCTTATAAATTATGGATAATTTGAGAATTGCGACCGCTAATTTCCAATGTCGGACTGCAGTGAATGCAGCACGAGATGACGCGAGAGCGACTGAGACTGATTGTTTTGAAAACCGAGCGGGGCAAAGCGAGGGAGCCAGGGGTGATGGGGAGAGGAGACACAGGATGAAACAGGTAAAAACTGATTAACTATCTATCGAGAAATGAAATCATAATGAAAGCACAATGTTGCTAGCATAGCTGCAATGCTGATTTTGAGATTATAAAAATCAGGTTGCAGAACGTCATTTCTCTAACTATGATGTTAGTTAGGCCTGAAGTCTCAGGCTCATAAAGACATATTTGCGGTCAACCATGACAGAAAAGAGACGATCAAGTTTGGTTGTACTCAAATCAAAACGCACAAAGACATTGGATCTAAATAAATTTGTGAAGCGTTTTTCTGAGCAACATGGAAAGCACTGTATTCAGCTGTTATAGTCATGTTAACTTTATGTTATGCTCTCTGGTGAGCCTTTACACAGCTGTTACATTTTGCTTTGGCACCTGAGAAAATCTGATATTTCCTTTAATAGAACCAAAAGTGTTAAAAGTTAAAAATGTGATACTGGTGTATATCCTGCTTAATATGAAGCACTGTTGTTGTTTCTTTTTTGTATATATAGTATGAAATTATCCAGAAATGACCTGTATGAACCTACTCACAAGCAAAATGTATTTTTTATGTTGCTTCTTTTCAGATTTGTGGAGATTTTGATGTAACATACAGAACCCGCCTTTTTGTTGATTTGTTGATACAGCAGTATGGAGGACCAACTCTGCCATATTTAAAAATAAATACAGAAATAAATAAATGCTTAATAAATAAATAAGCATACAATTAATTGCCACCAAAAATACAAACAACAAATAAATGTAAGTAGAAATTAAATTATACAGCTAGTCATAAAGGTACGTATATAACTCTTTTAATTGGCTTCTTTATTTCTTTGCCTTTTTAATATTTACCTTATTTATTTTTTTGTCATTTATTATCTTCAACTTCATTTTTTAATTACTTATATTTTTAAGTATTTATTTATGTGCATGTTATAATATTTTTGTCTGTTTTATTCTTCCTTTGTATTTTTTTACCCTAGTTATTTCTTCGCCGCTATTTCTTTCTGCCTGCCCTGTTTACATTTCTGCCTGCCATTATAATAAAATTTCTAATTACATTTATTTGTTTATTGAATTTTTGGTGGCAATTAATTGTATGCTTATTTATTTATTGAGCATTTATTTATTTCTGTTTTTATTTTTTAATATGGCAGAGTTGGTCCTCCATATTCAGCTCTATCTACAGCATATTTACATGCATGAAATGTCCCTTTCATGTTGCCTTAACTTCTGTATGTCAAGTTACTGAGGAACAAATGGGGTAAATGTGTGTTCAGAGTAAACATTACATAGATGTCCAGTACCTTGTTCGGGTGCCTTGACCCGTTTATTTCTACTGTGTAGTTCTGCTCACTTTAGTACAGCTCAGTCCATAGATCTCTGATGGGGAACTTTTTCTTTCTATAGTTTCTTCTTGTGCAAAAGCTGCAAAGCTGCCTCTCTGACAGTCAATCTCACACATCTACTACTCAGCACCTGTGTCTTACCTTAATACCTTTCCTATCATAAGGCCCCTCTAGAAGTAGTGTTATCGTTCTTCTATCTCCTATTAAGTGAGATCACATTGTACGATGTATTATTAATATGAACTTTTTCACATGAAACACTAGTACTGTACATACTATTCTCACCAAACTGTGATAACTGTGATTAAAATCAGTGTAAACAAATGCCATATGTTGCCACCCCTAAAAAATTCCTGCCCCCCTCTTGCCACCCCATAAATATTTTTCTAGATCCGCCCCTGCCCGGCATGTGACCGCAGCAGCAAAATTAATGACAAATCTGAGGTAGATAATACAAATGGTAATAAAAGAGCTCAGAAAAAAATAACTTCTAAAGAGATTAAAGGTAAACGTCAAGCTCAGGGAATATCAGTGTCAGATTTCACCATCTGTTGGTATTCAAGACAACCTAATGTGAGACTTGATTGACAGACTTTATTAATCTCACAATGGAGACATTTACTCGTTACACTGGATCAAACAAAGAAAGAAACGGTGCATTGGGGCATTGGGGTATATACAGTATACAGTGTGTGTCAAAATATATATACTGTATATATGACAGCTGAGCTGAAGTCTGTCATATAAGTTTTTTTTATTTGTTTAAACAGGATTATTATGCAACGTTATTACACAGGGTATTTGCATGGATACTTATATAGATGGGTATTTATCTATACAGCTATTGCACTGGGTATAGACAACCAAGGAGGACATGATTGTCGAAAAACGATTAAAAAAAGCCAGATAAGAATTTGCCAAACTACATGTTGACAAGCCAGACAATTTCTGGGAGAATGTCCTATGATCAGATGAGACAACTACTGAACTTTTTGCCAAGGCACAGCTTCATTTTCACAGACAGAAAAATGAAGCTTATCAATAAAGAACACTGTCCCTCCTGTGAAACATCCAGGAGGTTCTGTTTTGTTCTACTGGCATCTTGCATTTCTGCAGGGTACAATGAAAATTCAAGAATATCAAGGGGAGTGGTGGCCTAGTGACTAGGGCAGGGGTCACTAACGTGGTGCTCGTGGGCACCAAGGGGCCCTCAAGGGCAACATGGGGTGCCCTCAGCATCTTTTGAAAACAGAACAATTCACCAGCGGACTAAATGTGAAATGTTATTTTTTACTGAAGCTCTTATTTTGAAGCATTTAGGAAGCATTTTATCATATCAATAAATGAAAACATTTGAGGATTTATATGGATTTCATATTGAGAATATCTAAAAGCAAATTAAAAGTGAAAAGAAACAATAGAAATATGTTTATTATCTATGAAGTTCAGGTGAACGCCGACTCCTCTGGTTCATAGGTCAGTATTGGTAGCCCGTCCTATGACTCAGTACCAATAAAGTTGCCCTCAGCCTTAAAAAAGTTGGTGATCCCTGGACTAGGGCATTGTGCTTTAAAGCTAGAGGTTCTGAGTTCAAGCCCCAATCCCATAGTCTGCCAATCTGGGTCCCTGGACAAGACTTTCAGCCAAACATTGCTCGACGGGCGTCGCACAATGGCAGCGCACTGCTCCCCAAGGGCATGGGTTAAATGCAGAGAGTTAGTTTCATTGCTCTGTACTTGTGACGGTGTAATGATCATACAAGCTGAAAAAAAAGGTCTCTAGAGAGAAATGTGCTGCCCAGTGTCAGAAAGCTTGGTCTCAGTCACAGATTATGGGGCTTCAGTAGGATATTGACCTAAAACTTATCCAAACAAACCTGACTACTTTGACATATTGTATATTTACCATGCTATATATGGCAGGACATGAAGTATTCTTC